CACAGAAATATACTATTATATATACCTTATATTACATATATTACATATATTATAATATGTATATAAATATACATAAACATAAAAACATACATATTATAATATATAGCAAGCTAAGTAAATTCTTGGAAACCTGGAAAACCCCCAAAACTAGTAGAAGCAGCTGTTTTTTTTCTTTTCGTGTTTTGGGTTTGTTTTGTTTTGTTTTGTTACCGTTTCGTGAAAAAGCGAGAGCTAGAGAAAAAAAAAACACATTTCTTGGATTTAAGTTTGTCCACGCAAACTTTGTTTTTTAAAAGAAAAACTGGCGCTGTTTCCTTTAAGGGAAGCATGAAACTGTCCATCCAGAAACTCTTTTAAAAGTGGCCTATAATTGTGTGGCTTGGAAAATTAATTTCTTTCCAGAACCAAACAAAAGGGCCGCCTGCAACTTGCCCGAAACAGAAAATAAAAGTTAGCAACAGCTTTCCGCGTGGCAGGCCCCTCTTTGAAGCCCTGCGAGCGACAATCAGTACCAGGAGTACCAAGCCCAGTGCTGCCCTCAGAGCCACCGGAGAGGTACACGAGCCCCCCAGGCAAGAGGGCCGAAGCTCCACCCTCTTTTCGCTGCGCTTGGGTCTCCTTCCCACCACCCATCGGACTCACCTCCACGCCTCAGTGTCTTTTGCTTTGTTCTGCTGATGAAACTCAAACCACCATCAAGTTTGTTTTTCTTTCCAGGTCTTTGGAGAATGGTATATATTACAGGAGTTTTATTTGGAGGAGGCACTGGCGACGGAATGGAACGTGCTCCTACTTGCGGGACGAGCCTTGCTTTTGCAGCGTGAAGTACCTGGGTTCGTATCCCAGCTTTACCACTTAACTGTCCCTGTGACCACAGCCTTTCAGAGCTCCGTGTTCAACGGCAGGAGAGCTCCTAGCTTGCTGATAATAGTGTAAGGACCAGCCATCAGGATTAAGAAGGGCCGGCCTGCGCGTGGTGAGCGCGTAGGAGCCTCTGCTTCCATCCACCCTGCTCAGGCCACAGGAAGGTAGACGCTGGCTCCCACCTCACAAGCTCACCTGTGAGGCTGGTAAAGTGGGGCGGGGGGTGGAGGGAGGAATGAAAGGCAACCCCAGCCTGGGACTATTCTCACATGGTCCCTTATTAATGTTCCTCGAGGAATCTGCATCCCAACTAACCGTGAACGTGACGCCCGCCTCCCCCTCGCGCGCTCGCAAATGGTTCACATGAAATCCACACGGCTAAGTCACGCCCTCCCACCAAAGCCGATTTTCCGATTTTTGAAAGCTTGCTTATCGCATAAAAAAGGCTATGTTTTCTTCATTTCCCGCTCGTCGGCCTTCCTCGGCCGCTCCCCTGCCTCTCCCGGTTGGGTCACCGCCCCAGCTCCCCTCCCAGCGCGCACACAAAAGAGGACCCGAGACGGAGGTACCGGAACCTGCGGGCTTGTTTACCACTCGGGGCGCCTCCGCCAGACGCTGCCCGGCGCCGCCACCTAGCGGCGGGACACGGCACTGCGCCCGGCTGCGGGCCAACAACTGCGGGCCGATGACCCAACGCCGCAGGCATCTGAGGATAACCTTTCCCCCTTCTTTCCAAGACCAAATAAGGGGGCTCTTCCCTCTGCGTGCCGGGCCTGTGGCGGTTAGGCCAAGGGGCGTGGAAAGGAGGATCCGGGAATGAGGCTGACAGTCGGCAAAACAACCGACCACATTGTTCATGCGGCGGCAGGCCTCCTCCCTCTTCCGGGCCGGGCATGGCCCGAGCCCCGGCGGGTGCTCCCTGCAGCCGCGGACTTGGGGACCTTGCGGGCGAGCCGGCAGGGACGCTGTCTGGGGTCCCCCGAGCCCCATCGGCAGTGCCGCGGAGCCCCGCACCCCAGACGTGTAAGTGCAAGGACCCCCACCCCCTTGCACCTCTCCCTGCATACACTCCAGGCCGGCGGGGTGGGGGGCACAGCTGGAGGGAAGCCAGGCCGGGCTGCCAGTCCTCGCTCGGAACCCTGGCATCACCCCCGAGGGAGGGAGTCACTGGTGGCTGACAGTGTTTGGTAACCACAGAAACCGAGATTTGACCTATATTTTCGAGTATGGCCTCAACTGTAGTTCTCCTTCTAGAAATCAAAGTGAGAACGTCTGACCTGCCTTGCTGTTCATTTTCCTCCTGCTTTATATTCCAGAGTGCCACCCAGGAGGCTGGGCCAGTCAGAAGACCTTGCTGGCTGGACTGCACACAACTTGTATGGATCTCCAGGGCTCCAAGCCAGGAGGCAGTGAGGGGACAGCCACTGCCCCCTCACTGCCTCCTGCCAACCCGATTCTCCTGCCCACCGATGGAGGGAAACGGGGCGATATTTATCAAGATGCTAAATATGTTTACCGTTGGCTATTTCATTCCACTTCCAAGCTTTATCCTAATTAGGTAACGGGGAGTATGTATTCAGATGATCACAGCCCTGCTTATGACAACCACAACAGTTGGCCATTTACTATGCGCTAGAAACTGTCATAAATGTTTTACAAATACCCACTCACAACATCCCGATGCAGTGGGTATTAATGACTACCCCTGTTTTACAGAGGAGGAACCAGCACTCAGAGGCTAGCTTTCCACTCAAGATTACCCAGCCAGGGAGCAGCACAGCCAGGATTTATGCTCGGACATAGGCTACAGCCCATGCCCTCGACCGCAACGCTAAATGTTTATCGATGGGGATTTGATTAATTTAGAGCACATCCGTAGAACGGAATACTCGCCAGCCACTGAAATGGTGATGTAGATTGGGAATAATTGGCATGGAAAAATGTCCGTGACATACTGGTGAATGAAAACAGCTGGTCACACAGCAGCGTGTATAACAGGACCCCGCAGCTGTGAGCAAAGGCGCGCGTGGCAGTGCTAAGTGTGGTCACTCTGGGGGTGGAGGGGGGTGGGGGGGTAGGATTTCAGATGACTCATCTCACAGGTATGTTTTCTGTATTGCTGAACCCTTTTTGGAAATGAATGTATATTATTTTCTAATAAAAACCTATTTTGCTTCTTTTAAAAAATGGCATAAGGGAAATAACATTTCTCTATGCGATATACATATATATATATGTATTTTATATCATAATAGGTATCATTATATATTATATACGTTTTTAACCACTGTCGAGTCTGGGCTCAAAGCCTTCCTTCATCCCTGACGTTGGAAGTGACACCTCTCTACACACCTTAGAAGTGAGAACTTGTGTCTGGACAGATATTCAGCTATGTGAGCACATACCCATGTCACCGGCTAAACTGTAAACTTGGGGAGGGAGACAGATTTTTTTTCACTGTTTTCAGTATGTCCCTTACTACTTTACACAGCACTTTGTCCATTGCAGGGTTCAAACATTTACCAACAGATTGGTATGAACCCATAATGATGGAACGATCCACAGAAGAATTACTGGCATACTTAGTTGTTTGTTACCTGCCTTCTATTAGCTAGGCAATGCCTATGATTACCAGGAGGTTTTAGACATAAGATCACCCAAAGGAGAGTGAGTGATGGAATTGAGGAAGGCGGGCAGGGCCGTGGAGAAGTGGAGAGGCACGATGGGGGCTGGGAAGAGAGGCTGAGCTCTGCTCTCTTCAGATCTCAGCAGTACAGAGCCCCAGCCCTGAATTATCCAATAAGAAGTCACGAAACAGTGATCCTTCTCCAGGAGAGACTGGTCCCTTTCACTAGGTCTCAAGTCCAACAGCAAGAATAATTACAATGATGGCTCCTGTGGTGGACAGAGAGCTTCCGACCTATGTGGGGTACTGTGCTAATAAACTTAGTCCTTTGTCCAGGTAGCCTTTCTAAGGCTAGATCATTAACAGACAGTCCCACTGGGATTTGACCCCACGAAGCCTGACGTCAGAGCTCATGTCCTCGATCACCAAGCCATCCTGACTGGCCCACCTGTGGCGATTTCTAGTTGCCTTTGAATGAACCATGAGTCATGCCTACATTTTGGAAAATGGAGACCCATTCAAAACCCAGGGGCTTACAGACAGATACTAGATTAAAGAGACCGCAGATCGATGTGGCCAGACTGACCTAAGCCAGCCTCTCGGGTCTGCCCCTTGCCCACTTCCTCCCATATTAAATGGATGCAGTGGTACCTGGTGCTGTGTGGCAGGGCTGTGGTGAAGGCTACACATGATAAACCACATGAAAGCACGTGGCATCTCACACTTCATGGGCTCTCAGAAAATGTCATTGTGGCTTTTCAGACGATAGTTGCTTAAGTTGAACCTAGGATCAACACCTATGTATTTATGATTTCACAAATCACCTCTCGAACATCACTTGGCAATATTCCCTCATCCATTTTGAAGTGGAGACACCAAAAAGTGGGTGACCGGTTCACTGAGCAGGCAGTACTCATGGGACGTCATCGTGAAAGCAATGGGGTTTTTGTTTCACATCTTCCCTGAAATGTCTGCTATGATAGTCCTTTCCTAGTTCTGGCTGAAGTCTCAGGTCAGCCCCATGGCTTTTCTGGTCACTCTGAGGGACACAGTCTGTCTTAGGTGATGATGGCAACAGTGAGCTTTGATTCTAGAAGTGGAATGTGCAGTGTGGGGCGGTAACCAGAGTCTCCGTCCTCATTCATGAGACCAGCTGCCCCCATTCCACTGTGGGACCTTTTTCAGGGAGAGCCTGCAGCCCAGGAAAGGACAGATGCAGAACCCACAGACAGCATGGCACAGCGGCTGACCTACTCTGCTGGCCAAGGCTCAGCTCTGTGCTCCTGGTCACCAGGGGCTGGCAAGCACTCCTCGCCCCACCCCAATACACCCACTCTTGAAAGTGCAGGCCAAGAGTATTTGGAGAGTGACAAAAGAATATAGAAATTACCAGCCCCCCACCTTGCGTTCGAAGCCAAGTTCTTTTACTCCAGCAGGGGACTGGACGAGATGGGAGAAGGGCTTCCTCCTCTCTGCTCAGCAGTAAGGAGACCATCCTTAGAGGACTTACCGTGTCCGAAATCCCTGAGGGAGACGGAATCGGACCCCTTGTGCCTGCTGGATGGACTCAGTGGTAAGCTTCTCCCAGGCTGTTGCTATGAATCCACCTGAAACAAATGAATTTGCGTGAGCTTCAGACACGTTGCAAAGCTTCATCTTTTAAAGTGGCAGCAAATGTCTTCTAATATTAATGAGGATGACTCTGAAAAAAAATGTCTCTAGAAAGGTTTTCTGTGTGTTTCTGGAACATTAGGCTCTCCACCTCTTGTCTCCCTCTTCCAAGTGATTAAAACCCAGTCTGTTTCCATGTTCACGTGTGGCTTTGTGTTTAGACCACATGTAAGAAATCAGACATGGATTGGAGTTGAAATTGGGGTCAGATTGAGGAGAAACCCACATGGAAAGATAAATGGCACTGAGAAACTCTGTCAGTTATGGGAAGTATTCATGCATCATTGTCAAATACTTGAAATCACATTTCTCAACGTCACATTCCCCCAGAAAATGGAGACATTCACGTATGGGAGCATATGGAGTAGGGCAGCCGGGGTACACCATCTCCCCACCCACCCCCAGAAGCTCACCGGCATTTGGAAATGCTAATGAATTATGTGATACATGACTCTCTGAAGATGCTATTATTACACCTGTGTTACAGATAAGAGACTGAATCATCCAAAAAAAATATATATATGTCAGTGATCTGTCTGGTGCCACTGGTTTCGAAGGATCCTGCTGCCTGGCTGATGTGAAATCACGGTTACCCCAGGCCAAGGTTAACAGACAAAAGGTGGGGCAGGGTTACTTCCTAAACTCCTGGCCTTCCCCCATTGTGTGGGAGGAATGGGGGATGGGGGACGAACTCTACATCCCAGAGGGCCCATACCTACTGCTGGCTGACCCTCCATGGGGATGGAGGGGGACAGGTTCCAAGTGGACCAATGGGTGGCAGGGGCTACAGCAGGGATCACTCCCTCAGAGCTGCCTCAGAAACCTCCACCTTCCAAATAAGGGCCCTGGAAGAGGCGTGTTGCTGGTGAGGATGCAGGATTGGCTTTGCACTGCCTCCTCTCCATGATTTCACTGAGGCCAGGAGCCTGGGACAAGCTTGCTTCTCCCAGTGACTGCAAGGAGACACCACTCCCATTGCTTTGAGTGACACACCAAAGTCTGAGCAACGGTCAGAGGGAGTACAGCCTGAAAACCATGCCATGTCAAAACAGAGTGGTTTTATGTGTGCAGGAGATGTAGGCCTAAGTGCATCTTTGGGGAGGCGTGTCCTAGGTTTTGGAAAAGCTACCCACACACCCAAATGTGCAGTGATGCGAATGTCAGAACAGTGCAGGTCTTGAACACAGAGGATTGCAAACCGGAACCTGCATCCAACTTCCTCACAGGATCTGTTTGGCCTAAAAAAGGTTTTAAAAAGAAAAGAGTTCACATTTTAAAAGCTGAATCTCCTGTACAGCTGAAACTAATTCTAAAAAATGTGTATTTCACAATAAAAAGAATAATAATAAAAATAAATTAAAAAAAATAAAAAATAAAAAAAATAAAAAAACAACATGCATCTCCTTAAAAAAATAAAATAAAAATAAAAGCTGAATCTTATACTTCTTAAAAAAGAAAGAAGGGGCAGCCGGTTAGCTCAGGTGGTTAAAGTGCAGGCTCATAACACCAAGGTTACCGGTTTGATCCCCGCATGGGCCAAGGAGCTGTGCCCTCCACAACTAGATTGAAACAAATACTTGACTTGGAGCTGATGGGTCCTGGAAAAACACACTATTCCCCAATAAAAATCCTAAAAGAAAGGAAGGAAGAAAGAAAGGAAGGAAGAAAGAAAGGAAGGAAGGAAGGAAGGAAGGAAGGAAGGAAGGAAGGAAGAAAGAAAACCCTAATATCACTACCTACCCCTGCCTATATGGATGGCCCCAAGCTGTCCTCTCTGAGGGGACATACACTCTCCAGCACCCCTCTCCCCCATAGCACCCACAGTTCCCAGAGCCCCCAACATGGAAGCTGAGTATCAGCTGTCATTTATCTTCATTTGCACCACTGTTTTGATTATAAAAGACATTATTCTTTGTAGCCGGCCTCTATCAAACATGAAAAAAAATGGAAGCCAAACACATTGATGCCAGTTGCTGGGTCCCTGGTATAAAAGATTGCTTCTCTGGGAAGCGAGATGCCAGCGAGGTTTCCTTTGGATAATATTTTTCCTAAGGAGGAATCTGGGCCACCTGAGGCATCCAACTGTTGTTGGTTTTTTGAAGAAATACTAATAAGAAAGCTAATATTGATTGAGTCCTTGCGCTGTGCCTGGCCATTTTCCAAGCTCTTCCCATGAATAAACCTATGTAATTGTCACAAGAAAATGCAGTAAACACAGTACAACTTTATAGATGAAGGAACAGAGGCACAAAGAGCTTCAGCAACTGGCTCAGCGTCTCTCGGCCAGAAAGTGGCAGAGCCAGGATTCAAATGCCAGCCAGCAGGCCCCAGACACGGTGCAGACAACCACTTGCAAGTCCGCCTGTGGGTTCTGAGAAAGCTGGTCCTGGAGCAGCTTTCCCAGGTGTATCCATCAGAATTGGCTCGACCATGTATAGGAGGAATCCCCAAATTTCAGTGGCTTAAAGCAACAAACATTTATTTCTTGCATATGCTATACGATTCATCAGTCAGGTGACGTGTCACTGTCATCTCCTGGACGGATAGAGCTGACCCATCTGGAACATGGCCACTTGTCATGGCCGAGGAGAAAGAACACAGCAGTCGGGCATCAGCTTGCAAAGCTTCCTCTAGGAAGCGGAATTTATCACTTCTGCCCAATTTCACTGGCCAGAGCAAGTCACATGGCCAAGACCAAGTCTAAGGAACCTGGGAAAGTGCAGTCCTTGGGCAGAGGGAGGAGAGGGGATTATGGCCAGGGTGCCAGCATCATCTGCTTCACAAAGAAGAGTCAATTCACCCTTGTTCTCCACATGACATCTTTTATAGTGGAGAGAGCTGAGGCTCGATTCCAAGGTCCTCAAAATCTATTTCACATTTTCTGGCCCTCTGGGAGTGCGCTCGCAAGTCTTTGCCATCATCTCAAGCTAGTCTTGTTAGGATTTGTTTATGGCTTGGCCATATCTCGACTACCCTTTCATTCATCATTCATCATTTCCTGTAATAGACCCTCAAACATTTATTGGGTCTTTCCTGCTTGGCAGGCACTGAGCTAGAGGCTGGGGTACAAAATCTGATAAAACACAGTCTGCTCTGAAGTACTTAATAAAGCTGTATTCTAGTATTTGGAGAGGTATGAAACGCCAAGCAAGGTATTATGTTAAATAAGTCTGGAAAGCTTTGCAAAGTATGACCTCTTCTTGGAGAGTCACAAAGCACATTATTGACATATTGAAGGCTCTGAGAAGGACTGCAGAAAGAAATCTGTTTGTTTTACCCAAGATTCTCCAAACTTATGTGGCATTGTAACCTTTTTATACCAAACTGCCTGATTAACATCCCAAAGAACTAGAATTCCATGGAAAACACACTTTAAGGAAGCTATTGGAATAGCTTTAAGGAAGCCATCCAATCTGTTGAAGGCCTGGACAGCACAAAAACACGGGGTAAGGGAAAATTTGCTCTCTCGCTCTCTCTCTGTCTCTGTCTCTGTCGCTCTGTCTCTCTTCTGATTGTCTTGAGCTGGGACAATAGTCTTCTCCTGCTTGCAGACTCAAACTTGGACTACAACTTACGCCATCGCCTCTCCTGGGTCTCCAGTTTGCTGACTGCTGACTTCTCAGACTCCATGGCGGCAAAGGAATTTGTTATAAGGATTTTCCAACTTCTAATAATAAATCATACACAGCCATGTGGCACTTAACAACAGGGATATGTTCTAAGAAATGCATCGTTAGGCAATTTCGTCATTGTGTGAACATCAGAGAGTGCATGTACACAAACCTAAAAGGTACAGCCTACTACACACCTGAGTTACATGGCACAGCCTATTGCTCCTGGGCTATAAGCCTGTACAGCATGTCACCATACAAAACAACATGAAATTAAATCAAGCACAAGAGAAAATGATGCAGTCAAGAGACGTGGTAAACACAAGATGTACGAGGCTGCTGCTGGTATAACAGGCATGACGTTTTACAGCAAACTTTTTTTTTTTAAGTAGAGAGTGTACACTCTAAAGTAACAATATTTTGTTTATTTTGAGATCAAGGGACAATAGCTAAATCAAGTCTTATGCACTGTACATAATTTCATATGCTACACTTTTATACGACTGGCCACACAGTAGGTTTACACCAGCATTCACACAGACACATGAGGAATGCACTGTGCCATGACATTTTGATGGCGATGGCATCACTAGGAGATAGGAATTTTCATCTCCATTATAATCTTATGGGACTGCTGTCATATATGCAGTTTGTCATTGACCAAAAGGTCGTTACATGGTGCATGACTGTGTGTGTGTGTGTGTGTGTGTGTGTGTGTGTTTATTGGTTCTGTTTCTCTGGAGAACCCTGATTTGGCACATGCTTGTGGTAGGGTGGTTCGTGGCACCTCAGTTCACAGGTTGCTTTGTGCGTGAATAGCTATGACAGAAACCTCAAGTCCGTCATGTTCATTCCCGGCTCTGGGATGTCGCCACCATCATTCCTTGGGAAGTTGGCGTTCTTTGTTCTAAGCCATGTAAATTGTACTTTCACAAAGAAGGCATGTTATTTATACATTCCAATGGGAAAAAGTCCAACTAGTAGAAAGATGGATACAGTAATTACACTTCGTTTTGAGGACTAATTGTATTGTGAAATTTTCCTTAAATAATGTTTCTTGAGTTTGCCCATAATCATTATGAGTTAAGCACTTCCAGGAAATCAGCATATGGCTCTTTAATGAACCAACACTGCCCGACCAAGAAGTGGGGAGGTTGGGGTTTATTTTGAGATCAAAGGGAAAAATTTAAGCCCCGAGGTACTTGTTTTCTGGAAGTAAAAATCACACTCTCGTGTTAGGGGGATGGGACTCCTTTAAAATTTAACTGTTTTCTTCTACTTACTCACATCCCTAATCTGAATCCATAAATAGGGGTTAAATATTG